TTGAACTGAACTGACAACTTCTACTTCTGATACATACTGTAAAAGAACTTTGTTTTTTAACCTTTATTCCATTTCACACTTCTGATATGCACTGTGAAGGAACTCTATTATTATTTTATTTTTTAGCCTTTATCCCATTTGATGAATAGGCTCAGTGACCTCTCTCTCCTCCAGCATGCACCCTAGTAGTGATTAAACTCAGGGCTTCACGCTTGCTAGGCAAGACCTTTCTCCCTGAGTTACGGCCACCTCCAAGAACTTTTTTTTTTTTTTGATACAGGGTTTCTCTGTGTAGTTTTGGTGTCTGTCCTGGATCTTACTCTGTAGACCAGGCTGGCCTCAAACTCACAGAGATCCGCCTGGCTCTGACTCCAGAGTGCTGGGATTAAAGGCGTGTGCCACTGCCACCTGACAAAATATTTGCTTATTTTATTTTATGTATATGAGCATTTGCTTGCATGAGCAAGCAAATTGTATGTATGAGCATGTGTGTGTGGTGCCTTCAGAGTTCAGAAAAGTTCATCAGATCACCTGGAACTGGTGATCTGATTTATGGATGGTTGTGAGCCACCATGTGTGTGCTGGAAACTGAAGCCAGGTCCTCTGCAACACAAAGAATAACAAGTGCTCTCAGCTGCTGAGCCCTAAAGTAATTTTATTTCAAACAAACAAACAAACAAACAGAATTGCATGGGCTGGAAAGATGGCTCAACTGTTAAAAGCCTGTATTGCTCTTACAGAAGACCTGACTTGGGTTTTTAGTTCCCATGTAGGGCAGCTCATAATTGCCTATAACTGCAGCTCCAGGGAGGATTCAGCACCCTTTTCTGGTATCTGAGGGTCCCTGAACTCATGTGCATATATCCACACACAGACACACACACACAGACACACAGACACACAGACACACACACACACACACACACACACACACACAGTTAAAAAAGTAAAATAAACCTGGGTGATGGTGCTGCACCCTTTAATTCCAGCACCCAGGAGGCAGAAGCAGGCAGATCTTTGTGAGTTCAAGACCAACCCCAAAGCTGCCAGGGCAGTTACACAGAGAAAACCTGTCTTCAAAAACAAAAACAAAGACCCAAACAATAAATACACACACACACACACACACACACACACACACACACACACACACACACACACACATATCCCAGCACACACATGGTTGCTCATAACTATCCATATGCATATAAATTTGGGGCATACATATATATGTGTATACGCCCAAAATTTTAAAAAAGAGAAAACAAACAAACAAACAGAATTGCAGGCTCGATGCTAAAGAGGTGCCCTACCATTCTGGGCCTTGGGTTTGAGTCCCAATGTTACATAAAAGAAAGAGTTCAGCTGGGCAGTAGCGGTGCACGCCTTTAATCCCAGCACTCGGGAGGCAGAGGCAGGTGGATCTCTGTGAGTTTGAGGCCAACCTGGTCTACAGAATGAGATCCAGGACAGCCAGAGATGTTACACAGAGCAGCCCTGCCTCAGAAAAAACAACAAAGAAAAAAAAACAAACTAGAGTTAAAGTATAACATACATAAAGGCTGCTGGTGTGATTTGCATCACTGTGTTTTGGTCTTGCCCAATCGCAATCCTACAGTGAGAACTTGAGTCTGGCTTCTTCCTTTAACACAGATCTATGGAATTCAATCTGTCAGACCATCCATCTATCCTGTTGCCTGGACCAGTGGCTCTGTTCTACTGCTCATGCTGTAGAAATGCATGATGGTTCACATGTCCATTCCTCTGGACATGTAGACCATTTCCAGTCAGCTGTGACCATTAAGCACAAGACTTTGTGGACAAACATCTTCATCCCTGTTGGGCAGATACCTGGGAGCTGAGTGGCTGGGCCACACAGTGGGTATATATTTAACCTTTTACAAAACCGTCATTCAGTTAGTGGTGTGTATTTGTAATTCCAGCACTTGAGAGACAGAGGCAGGAAGATTGTGAGTTCGAGGACAGCCTCAGCTGAATGGTGAAATCCTATCTCAACAAACCAAGGGCTAGAGTTTATAGTCCAGTGACAGACTTGCTCAGCAGGTGCAAGGCCCAGGTTTGGATCCTCAGATCAAACCAAACCAAACCAAACCAAACCAACACCAACACCAACACCAAAAGCCCTCGCAAACTGTTTTCTGAAGGGGTCACATCACTACACACTTTGTTTGATAACACAGTTGCTATGTATCTTCTCCAGCACTGAGTTCAGTGGTTCATTTTAGGTACATTTCCTGGGCATGGCTACGCATCTACAGCCTGCTTTCATGTTTCTCCTGGCCGTTTGTGTATTTTCTTTGATTACCAACTGTTCACATCTCCTTTGTCTCTGTATATCCCACAACTTCTGCCTCTGCTAGCTAAATGCTCATGGTGCCTCTTTGTTTGGGCATCTTGAAACACTCTCTAGATTCCCCTTCATCTCTTTCTTGTATAGACAATTCTCCCTAAACACATTACACAAACCCTCCCCTGGTCTAAAGCCTGCTGTGGCTCCTGCAGTCGCTGCCTGTCATTGCGGGGACCTCCAGTCCCCGCTCCCTGTCTTTCTCCCCGCCTTCCTTCCCTTGTTCCTCTCTGCTTGCCCCCTGCCTTGAGAATGCAGAATGTCTTGTTCCCTGTCCTGGGTCAAGGCTGTTGAAACCAAGTCTACCTGTCTCCAGAGAGCTACTGGCCAGCTCCCCTTCACATGCTTTCTGCCCCCTCTAGTCTCCTCTTCAATTAAAAGTAATAGTTTTATGTTTATGACTGTTTTGTCTCCATGTACGTATGAGCATCACATGTGTGCCTGGTGACTGTAGCATCCAGAAAAGAATGTCGGGTCCCCTGGAACTGGAGTCACAAAGGATTGTGAGCTGTCGTGGAGGTTCTGGGAACCAAACTCTGGTCCTTTCCAAGAGCAGCAAGTGCTCTCAGCTGCTGAGCCGTCCCTCCAGCCTTTCCCCCAAGTTCCCCTGACACCCGCTCAGCCCTTTCCCCCTTAGTTTATTATTATAGATGTACCAGGGTAGCCGGGGCTTGGTAGCAGGCTTGGCCGCACCAGGCAGGCACTTCCTCCCATGTATGATAAAGGCAGCAGGATCTCCCTCCCCAGTTAATTCAACATTACCCACTCTTACATTTCTAAGACTTGTACATCTCCCTCCCTGAAAATTCTAGTCTGGTGGTAGGGACTCCAAGTGGTAGGGAGGGAGGGAGGGAGGAGGGCAGCACCCTTCTCTGTCTAAGACCATTTATTGACAAAAAGAACTGGATTGGCAGGAACTTTGGTTTCTAGTTCAGCCATTTAGTAATTGTGGGGTTTGGCACAGTTCAGTTAGTTAATTTCTCTGACTCTTCATTAATTTTTTTTTTGTTTTTTTTTAAACAGGGCTTCTCTGGGTAGCCTTGGCTGTGCTGGAACTCATTCTATAGACCTGGCTGGCCTTGAACCTCATAGAGATGCACCTGGCTCCGCCTCCCGAGTGCTGGGATTAAAGGTGTGTGCCACCAGTGTCCAGCCCCTTCATAAACTGAATGAGCAGGGTTCATTCTTAAAAAAAAAAAAAAAAGGTGGCTCCTTGTTCTTGCAGAAGACCCGGGTTCAGTACCCAGCACCCACCTGGTGATTTGCAACTATCTATAATTCCAGTTCCAGGGGATCCAGTGCCTTCTTCTGGCCTCCATGGACACCAGACACTCACCTGGTACACATCCATACATGCAGACAAAACAAATCAATAAATAAAGGGCTGGGGAGGTGACTCAGCAGGTCAAGGCGCTCACTAGTTGCCAAGCCTGATGGCCTGAGTTTGATCCTCAGAACCAAAATGTTGGAAAGAAAGATCCAAACTACATCTACCTGGGAGACTGTCATTTCCACGGGGTCACTGGGAATGTACAAAGCCTCTTATGCTTGTGGAAGTTGAGGGAACAACTCAAGGAGGACACTGGCCTGGTAAGGAGCTCTTGATCTCAGTCCACAGATCCCAGTTCTTGGGAAGCTGGGCCAGGATTTTAAGTGTGAGACCAGCCTGGGCTACACAATCCATTGCGAGAAGCCTGAGCTGCAAACCAGATCATGTCTTCAAACAAAACTGGAAGAACATAGATGAATCCATGAAGGAGAGCTGGGGGGCGGGGGGAGGATTAAAATCATGCCTCTCTCCCTGACACGTGCTCAAGGGTCTTCTGGGAAAACACTGCTGTCTCCTCCCTACCAGATCCAGTCAGTTTTTTAAAAAAGGTTTTGATATGAAATTGGGGGAGTACCGTGAAGATGAAATGGGACAGAGAGGGGAGTCAAGTCACTTCTGTTACAAACGCACTCAGAATGGTCCCACACACACACTCCCTATCTGCAAAGTGAGTCCCTGGGTTTTCTGCTCCAGCAATCCAGAAACACTTATGTTGCAGATACCAAAGATGAATATGCACGTTGCAGGGGAGATCCTGAGTCGTCACGGATGGCTCAGCAGTAAAGGCGCTTGCTGCCAAGCCCGGTGAGCTGAGTTCCCCAGGACCCACATGGTGGAAAATGAGCACTGATTCCCACAAGCCCCCGAACTCCACATAGACACCGTACACTTCTACACACACATATGAATAATTTAATGAAATAAAATTTAAATAGAGAAATACTCAGGTTTGGGGCCTAAGAATGCAGAACAAACCAAAGGCGGAGATGAGAGGAGAGGGCGAGGAGGAGGTGGATGAACAGCTAAGGCCTTCGCGGGGCTTCTGCTTCCCCCCAGCGCTGTCTCCTCTACCTCAGTTTGGTCCTTGTCTCAGGGTCACCACCCCAGGTCCCCCCAACCCCCCGGGCTTCGCTTTGGCTCCTCCCTCTCCAAGCTGTTCTGGTGCAGCGGGCTGGCAGGGAGGCTGCATTTAGGCCCCGCCTAGGTCACGGGTCACGACTGCCGGTGCCAGAAGGTACGGAGCTTCTCACGGTGACTTCTGGCTGGTGGTGTCCCAACTCGGTGCGTGACTCCGCCCTCCCCGACCCCCCCGCCGCGCGTTTGTCTTCTCTCCGGAGCAGCGGCCGCTCACGCCCGAGTTCTCCGGTCCTCCTCGCTTGTCCCCAGCCCCGTGTGTCCTGGGATCCCATGGAGCCCGAGCAGAGCGCGTCCCCGGGGGACGGCGCTGCTGAGGTGCTGCTGAGCGAGCTGGAGCGGCAGGTGCAGGATGTGGTGCGGGCGAGCTCCTGGTGGGAGCGCCGCGGTGTGGACTGCGCTGTCCTCGCTGTCAGCTTGCTCGCCTTGCCGGCGGGTGAGACAAAGGCACTGGCTGCGGTTGGGGGTGGCGCGGGGCTGGAGGTGGTGCAGGCTGGAAGGGAACTTCAGGACTCTGGGACCCTGGATCCCAGTTCAGTCTCCAAAGTCTAGTTGGAGGGAGTCTACTGCATGTCCCGCTGGAGCTGGGAGCAAGTCCGATGCTTGGAAGTGGTGGAGAAAAAAGTTGCACAAGGAGTCCTGAATGGATAGAAGGGAAGAGCATGTTTTAAGGGGGACGCCCGAGATGGGCAGAGTGGGACTGAAGAAGTAGTCTGCACCTCTCGTGGTCTCATGGCTCTGTGACATCCAGTCCCCATCTCTGCTCTGGCTGGGGTTCAGGAGGGTGACCTGGCAGAATGTGGACAGCAGAATATCCTTGGCAAGCCCGTGGGGGGGAATCTTTAGTGCCCCAAATCCCACAGAGAGCCAATCCACTCCTCTCAGGCCCAGGAACCTGCCTGCCACAGGCCCAGGGCTGGCCTTCTTTGGCTTGGGGCTTGGGGAATTGTGTGCATGTTGGTCTGGGCCCGTATTTTCCAAAGCTGGCCAAAGATCCTGATCCCTGGTCCCTCCTCTCTGCAGGGTTCCTGTGCCTACGCTTCCATAGTGTCCTGGCCTTTACTACTGGCATCACCATCTTGGGCATCTGCCATTACACACTCACAGTCAAGGGCAGCCACCTGGCCACTCACGGTGCCCTCACAGAGTCCAAACGCTGGAACAAGATCTTGATGATTTTCTTTGTGGAGGTGAGGTTGGCAGTGGTGGGGCAGGCAGTTGCTGGGCATCTCCATGTTGGCAAGCAGCTGCTGCAGAGGGTTGGTGGACCCTAGTGGGCAGTGTACGACACAGTTCCTGTGTGTGTGTGTGTGTGTGTGTGTGTGTGTGTGTGTGTGTGCCCGCCCATCTATTCCTCTCAAGCCCTTGAGAGGAAGCTGGCATTAGTGAGTGGTCCTGCATCCTACAGAGCCCGGTGTCTGCCTTTGACAAATTAACTCGGCCTGCAACTGGCCAGTCTTGCTCTGGGGTTGTGTGTCTCACAGAAGCCTCTGGGTCCTGCAATCATGGCTCATTGTTTGAAGGGCAGATGGGGGAGGGGGTGGGGGTGGGGACAATGTCGCAGCACTCCAGCTCTGTGGCCTGCTCTCACACCTGCTGACCCTGCTGACGGCTCTGTGCTCCTCTAAGCCTCCAGGAAGGGCTCTGCTGTCTCTCTCCTTCCACCCACCCTCCTTGCTCTGCCTTCTCACCCGTGAGTCACTAGGAAGGCAAAGGTCACCGGACAGTTGTTCTTCAGGCCGCCCCAGATCCTCTGCCAAAGTTGTTCTCTCTTCTGCTCCAGGGGGACCCTCACCTAGCCACCCAGGTTCCCCAGGAATAGATGGGGAAGCTGCTAGCAGGAATAGGTCTGTCTGGAAAGGACTCGTTATTGGGACCAACCAACCCAATTGCTATCTTTTTAAAAAGCCATGTCGCTGTTTTTTAAATTTTATATAATGTTTGTTTTATTACATTTATTTACTTGTTTGTTTTAGGGGGGTTGCACGTGCCATGACACACCAGTGAAGTTCAGATGACAACATGCAGGGGTCAGTTCTCAGTTTTCTCTTGCCACCATATGGGTCCTGGGGATCCAGCTCAGGCCTTTAGGCTTGACCACAAGCTGAACTTGCTGAGTGACTGTGAAGGTCCTTCCTTTTATTTATGGGTATGTGTGTGCAACTGCATGTCTCTGTGTGCATTACATGCATACAGGGCCCATAGAGGCCAGAAGAGGGCATCAGATCCCCAGGAACTGGGGCCATTCAACATGGGTGCTGTGAACGGAACCCAGGTCCTCTGCACCAGCAGTAATTGCTTTCACCTGTGGAGCCATATCTTCTGCCCCTTAAATCATGTAACTTTTTATACAGCTTTAGGTAAACACCACACACACACACACACACACACACACACACACACACACACACACATCCCTTTTGATATACCACACATTGAGTGGTGGGAACATTTCTTACCTAGCATTCTCTGTCCTCTCCTCCCCTCAATACTCTCTTACGAGCCCAGGCTTCTGATGGGGTAGGAGCATGAAGAACCCACAGGCTGTGGATTCCTAGGGTCAATTTTAAAATACCCCCCCCTTTCCAGGAAGCTCTGGGTCTGCCTAGACTCGGAGGCACAGTTGGAGCCTGGGGTCAGGGTCTGTCACCTGCCGGGAGAGGCAGGGGTGATGTCTGTATCATTTGTATAAACAGTATCCCAATGCTGGGACTCAGAGCGCAGGCTTAATCCTGCTTGGGTTTTCTAAAGTGGTGCTGTGTGCTAGGAGCCTGTGGTAGCCAGGGAATAGAAAATGCTGTCAATCACAGATTAACCAACTGCAGGGAGTTTATTGTGTGGAGGTTACTCTGAAGAAGTCTTATCAGGCCGTTAGATAACTGATGCCTGATCAAGCAGGAGGACTTCTGATTTTTTTTGACTGCCTGGGGACAGAAGAGCCCTCCTCTGTGTGGAGTGGAGGCAGGGAGGAGACACTGAAATGTCCTCTTGGCCTGCCCTGCTTGGTAGCTCCTTCAGTACCTTGGCACAGTGACCTGTGGAACCAGACAGCCTTAGGCCTGAGTTCTGTCTGTTGCACACAGCTTTGTCCCATGTGAACTCGGTTCACTGGCCTCATCTTTGCCTCTTCCTTTGACCCAGTTCTTAGCAGCTCTTCTGTCAGTATTTGCTGGCCATGGCCTTGCATTCCACTTGTGGACAAGGTCTACAGGAAAGTTAGCTAGTGGTGTGTGTGTGTGTGTGTGTGTGTGTGTGTGTGTGTGTGTGTTATGTTCTGCAGGCCTATGCCCTTTTGCGGCTGGGGAGGAAAGGCCTGGACTCCCCCCTCACGTCCTGACACTGTTGACTGGGCTGCAGTGGCCTTTGGTGAGCTGTGAGCAACGAGAAGTAGTTTTGCCAGTCCGTCCCTCCAAGTGACCTGGGCAGGGAGGCATCTCTATTTTCCAACCTTAGAGAGAACTCTGGTTCCTCTCTAGGACTGGTTCCCAAGTATGGGGGAGTGTGGGTCAGCCCCACCTGGCTGGCATGTATAGGGCAACGTCTTTGGAGCCTTGTGCCTTGATTGGAGTCCCAGCCCCAATAGTGGCGCCAAGCTTGAGCAAGGTGGTTAATTCTATATCCGGGGTTAGTTTCTTCATGGACCCCACAAGCGTGATAACACAACCTTCTCGTTACCCCTGCGAGGGCGCTGGATGAGACAGTGCAACTTTCCAGGCCTGCCTTCCATGAGCCATAGTGTCGCTTTGTGTTTTCCAGTTGGCGAGGACACACTGACAGCTGCAGGGCAGCATGGACTGATGGTTTGTTTTGTTGTTGTTCTGTGCTTGTTAACCGTGAGGCTGCAGAGCCTGGCAGAGCGGTGCAGGTGTTGGTTGGTATTGGGTTACCTGGCACAGGACAGGCTCTCCTGGCCTGGGAACCTCCGAGGTACACGGGACTCTTCCTGGACCCCGGACTCTCACTTCTACCTCCTGCTGTCTTCTCCAGTCATCCCCCTAGAGACATCATTACTGCAGAATATCTGGTCTTCCTTTGGTTCCTTCCCTGGGTTCCTTTGGGGATTCTACAGAGTCTGCAGCTCCAGGCATCAGCGGGGTCCTTCTGGTTTTCTTTGGTAATCCAGTGTTTGGTAATAGTATCTTGTGGCCTGCTGGGTCTAAGCTGACCCAGTGACTCTGGAGAGCAGAAACACAGAATGGAATAGGGCTATCACTCTAGGCTGTATTCAAAATCACGAACCCCTACCCACACCAGAAGAGTTTTCTCTGAGGACCCCCTTCTGGCCTACTTGAGGAAGTTCCTACCCTAGTCTTACCCAGCAAGCATTTTCTTTCCTGGTTACATCACCCAGGCTGCTAGGTATATCCTTGGAGTTGGCCAGGGAATGATGTCATGCTAGGACGACCACCAGAAGATAGAATGAGCAGGTCATTATGGTTTAAGTTCTGAATTTGAGGATTAACCTCTGAAAAGCCTTTAGTATCGCAGCCAAGAATGCTCCCCTGAACGGGCGGGAACCAGCCATGCTAATCACGAAGCTCTTTATTATGTCTCCTCTTTAAACCCTCTTGTACACTCAGGTTTGGGCTGTGGGGGTGGAGCCACAGCTGATCCACTAGGAATCCTGTGCAGCTCGCTGTGTCCCACAGGGGAAGGCCCGTCACCACCCATAGGTCCCCTGTGGTCCAAACCACAGAGAATCCCAAGCCTAGTCCTGATCCTCATCTGCTCCCTCCTGGCTGAGTCCAGAGCTGCCCCATCAAGGCTGTTCCCTCTGGCCCATCTCACCATCTTCTGCCTGCTCCCATCAGGCCTCGATTGAATAAGAGCTGCCATGACCGATATAGTTTTCTTTTTGGGTGCTAGGGATTGAATGCAGGGTCTTGTGTGTAGCACACACCTGCTCTGTCTTTGAGCTGTACCCCAGTCTTAACTATGGCCGGCCTCTCTCTCTCTCTCTCTCTCTCTCTCTTTCTCTCTCTCTCTCTCTCTCTCTCTCTCTCTTTCTTTTTTCTTTCTCTCTCTTTCATT